CCGAGGTCTTTGTCCCTCTAGTGTATAGCCCTTTTTGATATTTCAAAGGCAAGTAAGGCGCATTATTGTAGTGTGACATCTAGATCCCCATTCAGGGTGGAGACACCTTCCTTTAGCTGCCTAGAGTCATGGCTGCTAAAGGCCCATAGGTGCATCTTTTTCTTGGACTTGCCCTTGTAGAAGGAAGCAACCTGCATTTAATTAATGATTAATGTGGAAGATATGCATTGCCTCATTAGGGTCTTATATGAAGGACTGTCCCCACTTTAGAACTCTTAGTAGGATTCACTGAGGTTGCTGTTGTGATTGTGTTACTGTTCAGTACAGTTCAATTTCTCCCTCTACCCAATCATGCTTTCCTCTATGCCCACACAGGTGTTGTTCTTGAGATTACTTCCCGATAAACCTCTTGTATGCAGATTTCAGTCCCAGAGTCTGTTTCCTTGGGAACCCAAGTTACGACAATCATCTACTATTTGGATCATCTCTCTCAAAATTTTTGCATTATAGAAAATGATTATATTAAGGATGGATTTTAATTTTATTAATTTTGTGGTCTACTTCTTTGAAACTGATTCTATATATCTTTTATAATGGGAATCTGTAGCCAGTAGATTCAAATTTTTGTTAGATTATAAAGTGTTACTTAACAGATTTTTTTTTTTTTTTTTTTTGAGACAAAGTCTCACTGTTGCCCAGGATGGAGTGCAATGGTGCGATCTAGGCTCACTACAACCTCCACTCACTACAACCTCCACTTTCCAGATTCAAGTGATTCTCATGCCTCAGCCTCCCAAATAGCTGGGATTACAGACACATGCCACTGTGCCTGGCTAATTTTTGTTTTGTTAATAGAGATGGGATTTTGCCATGCAAACTCCTGGCCTCATGAGCCACTGTACCTGGCCACCTAACAGATTTTTTCTTTTTTTTTTTTTTATTGAGACGGAATCTCACCCTGTTGCCCAGGCTGGAGTGCAATGGCACGATCTCAGCTCACTGCAACCTCTGCCTCCCAGGTTCAAGCAATTACCCTGCCTCAGCCTCCCCAGTAGCTGGGATTACAGGCGTGCGGCACCATGCCCGGCTAATTTTTGTATTTTTAGTAGAGACGGGGTTTCACCATTTTGGTCAGGCTGGTCTCGAACTCCTGACCTCATGATCCGCCCAACTCGACCACTCAAAGTGCTGGAATTATAGGCATGAGCCACTGTGCCCGGCCCAGATTTTTAAGTTTGTTTCATAGTCCATGATTTTGAGCATGATCCACAGATCCTCTGTTCAAGAAATTTTATTGTCAGTACCTTTCCCTGTTCCCTTAAGTGAGTTTAAGACTTAAATAAAATGAAAAGTAGCTACTTCTTTAAAGTAGATTGTTAACCCTTATTTTGGTATGTTTTTGTATCTGTCTACTCATATTTGATGAATCAGAACAGCCTATGCTTTAAACTTCCCTAACATATGTAGGTCAATTTTAATCAGATGGAGGGTATTTTTAAAACTTTTATTATTTCACCTAATATTACTTATATTCACTTAATATTTCACTTAATATTAAGTTAATTGTATGATATCTGTAAACCCAAATGAGGTACTAGGAACTTATCTCTAATGAGTTCTGATAGTCTCAGTCTCTTACAGACTTGGCTGCTTGTGAGAGACAAATTATTTTCACTAGTAACTTAAGTTTTAGAGTTTTAAATAAGACCATAAGAAAACTAAGCATATACAGATATTGGAAATATGTTTGACATCCTTTTAGGTCAGCCAATTTATGGCTCCAGATCAGTCATAGAATGAGAATTTTGGAGGTGGAAGGTCCTGTGAATTCATCCTGTCCTTATAGTTTATCAATGAAGAAATTGAGATTAGAGAAGTTAGGCTTAATTGGTATCAGAGAAATGAACAAGAAACGTTTTGAGATTGTAGGGAAAATATCAGTTGAGATCCCGGAAACCTAAGTGTTAATTGCAGCTCTACCATTAGATAGCAGAGCATTGTCAGGCAAGTCAACTATTCTTTCTTTTAGTTTCTTCTTGTATGAAGTGACTGCAATTGGACCAAATGATTTCTGAGTACCTTCCAGCGTTTTTTGTTTTTGTTTTGTTTTATTTTGTTTTTGAGACAGGTTCTTGCCCTGTTGTCCAGGCTAGAGTGCAAGTAGCCTGATCACGGCTCACTGCAACCTCAGCCTTTCCAGGCTTAAGAAATCCTCCTGGCTCAGCCTCCCTAGTAGCTGGGATTACAGGCCCACACCAGCATACCCGGCTAATTTTTTGTATTTTTTGTAGAGACGGGGTCTCACTTTGTTGTTCAGGCTAGTCTTGAACTCCTTGGCTCAAGTGATACTCTCACCTTGGCATCCCAAAGTGCTGGGATTACATGCATAATCCACTGTGTCCAGACAGCTTTTAAATTTTGATTCTAGGTCTTTTTTGTACAGAGAGATGTACTTAATAATAATATTTGTCTATTTATAGTGTATCTACTATAATGCCAGACACTAATTTAAACATATTTATTATTTAATCTTTACAACAATTCTGTGAGGCTGTCATTATTAGTTTCACTTTACAAATGGGAATTTCAGGCTTAGAGAAGTTAAGTAAACTTACAAAGCTTTGGCCAGGTGCGGTGGTTCACGCCTGTAATCTCAGCACTTTGGGAAGCTGAGGCGGGTGGATTACCTGAGGTCAGGAGTTTGAGACCAGCCCGGCTAAAGTGGCGAAACCCCGTCTCTACTGAAAAGACAAAAATTGGTTGTGGGGGGTGCACGCCTTTACTCCCAGTTACTTGGGAGGCTGAAGTGGGAGAGTTGCTTGAACTCTCGAGGCAGAGGTTGCAGTGAGCTGAGCTCATACCACTGCACTCCAGCCTGGGTTACAGGGGGAGACTCCTCAAAAAAAAAAAAAAAAAAAAAAAAAAAGGTCTATAAAGGTCTTGCTATGTTGCCCAGGGGCTGGTCTTGAACTCTTGGCCTCAAGTGATTCTTTCACGTCAGCCTCCAAAGTGCTGGGATTACAGGTGTGAGCCAGTGTGCCCAGCTTCAGTGCAATTCCTGTCAGATTGCCAACATCATTTTTCATAGAATTAGAAAAAACAATTCTAAAATTCACGTGGAACCAAAAAAGAGTGCGAATAACCAAAGCAGAACAAAGTGGGAGGCATCAAATTACCTGACTTCACATTATGCTACAAGCTACAGTAAACATGGTACTGGTATAAAAATAGTCACAAGTCAATGGAACAGAATAGAGAACCCAGGAATAAAGCCACATACTTATAACTAACTGATATTCGATGAAATTGACAAAAATATGCACTGTGGCTTCTGATTATGGGCCTGGGATCTGAGTGCAGGGCTAGAGGCAAGCAAAGGCAGGACCAGAGGCCATGGGGGCATGGGCTGGTAAGTAAGTGGTAGGGGGAGACCCGAGAGTGTGGTGGGGGTAGGGAAATACAGTGGGGAAAGAATACTTTATTCAATAAATAGTGCTGGGAAAATTAGACAGCCATATGCAGAAGAATGAAGCTGGACCCATATTGTTCACCATATACAAAAGATGAATTAACTGAAGGATTAAAGACTTAGATGTAAGACCTCAAAGTAGACCGGGTGTAGTGACTCCCAGCACTTTGGGAGGCCGAGGCGGGTGGATCACCTGAGATCATGAGTTCAAGACCAGTTTGGCCAACATAGTGAAACCCTGTCTCTACTAAAAAGACAAAAATCAGCCAGGAGGCTGAAGCAGGAGAATCGCTTCAACCTGGGAGGTGGAGGTTGTGGTGAGCTGACATCACACCACTGCACTCCAGCCTGGGCAACAGAGTAAGACTCTGCCTCAAAAACAAACTAACAAATAAACAAAAAACCTGTAACTAAAAACCCTGGAAGAAAACCTAGGAAACTCTCTCTGGACCTTGGCCTGGGTGAAGAATTTATGACTGAGACCTCAAAAGCAAATACAAAAACAAAAAAAGAAAAAAATGGGAATTAATTAAAGTAAAAATCTTTTGTACAGCCCAAGAAATAATCAACAAACAGACAACCTATCAAATGGGAGAAAATGTTTGCAAACTATGCATCTGACAAAGGACTAACATCCAGAATCCACATGGAATGCAATAAGAAAAAAACCCATCAAAAAGTAAACAAAGGACATTAGCAGATATTTCTCAAAAGAAGACATACAAGTGACCAACAAACATGAGAAAATGCTCAACATTGCTACTCATCAGAGAAATGCAAATTAAATTAAAAATACAATGAGATACCATCTTATACCAGTCAGAACAGCTGTTACAAAAAATTATAAAACAAAACCAACAACATGTTGGTGAGGAGGTAGAGAAAAGGGAATGCCCATACATTGCTGGTGGGAATGTAAATTAGTACAGCCTCTATGGAAAACAGTATGGAGATTTCTCAAAGAGGTAAAAACAGCTACAGTTCAATCCAGCAGTCCCAGTACTGGATATATATCCAAAGGAAAACAGATCATTGTATAAAAAAACAAATCTGCATATGGCTGTTTATCGCGGCACTTTGTACCACAGCAAAGTCATGGAATCAACCTAAGTGTCCATCAACAGATGATTGGATAAAGAAAATGTGGTTTATATATACCATGCAATACTACTCAGCCATAAAAAAGAATGAGATCATGTCTTTTGTAGCAGCAGTGATGGAACTGGAGGCCATTATCCTAAGTGAAATCACTCAGAAACAGAAAGTAAAATACCACATGGTCTCACTTATAAGTGGGAGCTAAACAATGGATACAAATAGACATAAAGATGGAAATATGGGGGACGGGTGAGGGTGGGAGGAGAGTGAGGGATGAAAAATTACCTATTCTGTACATTATTAGGGTGGTGGGTACACTAAAAGCCGAGACTTCACCACTATACAATATGCCCATCTAACAAAACTGCACTTGTACCCACTAAATCTATAAAAAGAAAATAAGGTGGAAAACAGAATGGATTGTCTAAGGTACCTTCACTCATATTGCTGGTTTTATCCATTGGGCCACATGTGTCCAAGGCTAATCTGGGTATAGGTGGTGGCAGAGAAGTTTCCAGCAACAAGAGAACAAATCCCATTGTGCAGACAGACACCTTTCAAGTCTCTGCTTGTGTCTTATTTGCTACTACCATTAGTCAAGGCAAGTCTCATGGCCAGCCCAGAGTTTATGTAAGGGAGGATTACATAAGAGAATTACAAGGGCATGAAAACATAGGCCTGATTCATTGATGGTAATTACCGTAACGAACTACCACTGACACCACTTTGTTCTTCCTTCTATTATGAGTAAATGCTGCAAGAGGAAATATAAATAAGGGACGTAGTCGAGTTTAAAGGATAGAAAGATTTCTTATTTGAGTAAGAACACTCAGAGAAGATTTTGTGATGCCATTTGGGTTAGATTTCAGCAATATTTGCAAAATGATCTTCTAAATCTTTCATTGCTTCTACGTATATTAACTGAAATTTTTCTGTAAAGAACTTTTTGATATCAACCAGGGCTATTTGGTTATCCCAAATTTCAATGCATACTTGCAAGGCACGATAAAGACTTATTGTTTTTCTTTGATTACTGTTAGCATAAGAGTTGGTACACTAGCTACTTCAGCAGTGATCATTGTGGTTTTCTGAGTTTTCTTTTGATTTTCTCTTTCTTGAGAAAAGGAAGTTCATAGATTTGAAAAACAGAAGTTACTTTTTAGAGCAGTTATAGGTTCACAATAAAACTGAGTGAAGGTTACAGAGATTTCCCATATACTTCCTGCCCCTACACATACACAGACTCCCCCATTATCAACATTCCCTGCTAGAGTGGTACATTTGTTAGGATTTGTGAACATATATTGACATATCATTATCATTTAGAGTCTGCTGTTTACAGTAGGGTTCACTCTTGGTGTTGTACATTCTGTGGATTTTGGGACAAATTTTTATGTTTCTACCATTATAATACCATACAGAGTACTTTCACTTACATACAAATCCACTGTGTTTTGCCTATTCATCCTTCCCTTCCTCTTAACTCTTGGCAAACATTGATCTTTTCACTTTTTTCTTGGTTTTGCCTTTTCCAGAAGGCATTTTCAAATTGGCTTCTTTCACTTTATATTTCACTTAGTAATATACGTTTAAGTTTCTTCATTGTCTTTTCATGGCTTAATAGTTCATTTCTTTTTAACGCTGGAGAATATCATCTGGGTGTACTAGTAAGTTATTGATTCACGCACTGGAAGGTATCTTGGTCAATTACAAGCTTTAGCTATTATGAATAAAGCTACTTTAAACAACTGTGTCCACGTTTTGGTGTGGACAGAAGTTTTTAATTCATTTGGATAAATACCAAGGAGTGTGATTACTGAATTGTATAGTAAGAGTATGTTTGCTTTTGAAAGGAACTACCAAACTGTCTTCCAAAGTAGCTGTACCATTTTGTATTTCCACCAGCAATGAATTCCTGTTCCTGTTTCTCCACATCCTTGTCAGCATTTGATGGTGGTAGTGTTCTGGATTTTGGCCATTCTGCTAGGTGTATTGTGGTATCCCATTGTTTTAATCTGCATTACCCTGATGGTGTATGCTGTGGAGCAACTTTTCATACGCATATTTGCCATCTGTATATCTTCTTTTGTAAGATGTCTGTCTATTAAAAGTCTTTGCCTTAGTTTTTAATTAGATTATTTATTTTTTTACAAATAAATTTAAAGAGTTGTTTGTATATTTTGGATAATAGTCCATTATCAGGTTTGTCTTTTGTAAATATTTTTCTCCAGTCTATGAGTTGTCTTTTTATTCTTGACAATGTCTTTTGAAGAGCTGACATTTTTAATTTTAATGAAGTCCAGCTTATTAATTCTTTCATGGATTGCGCCTTTGGTGTTCTACCTAAAAAAATAATGGACAAACCACAGTCTTTTTCTCCTATGTTATCTTCTAGGGTTTATAGTTTTGTGTTTTACCTTTAGGTTTGTGATCCATTTTGAGTTAATTTTTTTTTTTTTTTGAGACGGAATCTTGCTCTGTTGCCCAGGCTATAGTGCAGTGGCATGATCTTGGCCCACTGCAACCTCCGCCTCACGAGTTCAAGTGATTCTTCTGCCTTAGCCTCCTGAGTAGCTGGGATTACAGGCGCGCACCACCATGCCCGGCTAATTTTTGTATTTTTAGTGGAGATGGGTTTCACCATGTTGGTCAGACTGGTCTCAAACTCCTGACCTCATGATCTGCCTGCCTTGGCCTCCCAAAGTGTTGGGATTACAGGCGTGAGCCACTGCACCTGGCCTTGAGTTAATTTTTTAAAATTAAAATTAAAATGTAATTATTTATTTTTGAGATGGAATCTTGCTCTGTTGCCCAGGCTGGAGTGCAGTGACGTGATCTTGGCTCACTGCAACCTCCACCTTTTGGATTCAAGTGATTTTCCTGCTTCAGCCTCTTGAGTAGCTGGGATTACAGGTGCCTGCCACCACACCTAGCTAATTTTTGTATTTTTAGCAGAGACAGGGTTTCTCCACATTGGCCAGGCTGGTCTCAAACTCCTGACCTCAGGTGATCTACCCTTCTCAGCCTCAAAGTGCTGGGATTACAGGTGTGAGCCACTGCACCTAGCCTAAATTTATTAAGACGGGTCTCACCATGTTGCCCAGGCTGGTCTTGGGCTCCTGGACTCCAGTGATCCTCCTACCTCAGCCCCCCAAATTGCTGGGATTGTAGCCATGAGCCACCGTGTCTACCCTTGAGTTAGTTTTTATGAAGAATATAAGGTCTGTATTTAGATTTTTTTTTTTTGCATGTGAATATCCAATTGTTCCATTACCATTTGTTGAAAAGACTATTGTCTTAACCCATTTTTTTTTTTCTTTTTTCTTTTTTTGCTACTATTACAGAATCCCACATACTAGGTAATTTATAACGAAGCTTATTTGGCTCACAGTTCTAGATGCTGGGGAGTCTAAGCACATAGCACCTTTCTCTGAGATCCTGTCTGCTATGTCATCTCATAGCAAATAGGAAGGGCAAGAGAGCAGGTGTGATGGAGAGCTTATTTTGTTTTTCTTTTTTTGAGACAAATTTTGCTCTTGTTACCCAGGCTGGAGTGCAGTGGCGCCATCTCAGCTCACTGCAACCTCCACCTCTCGGATTGAAGCGATTCTCCTGCTTCAGCCTCCCGAGTAGCTGGAATTACAGGCATGCACCACCACATCCAGCTAATTTTGTATTTTTAGTAGAGACGGGGTTTCTCCATGTTGGTCAGGCTGGTCTCAAACTCCCGAACTCAGGTAATCTGCTTGCCTCTGCCTCTCAAAGTACTGGGATTACAGGTGAGAGCCACCATGCTTGGCTGCGAGCTTGTTTTTGTAACAAAGCCATTCCCGTGATAACTGATCCATGTTCACAATAATGGCAATCCATTCATGAGGGTGGAACTCCCATGACCTAGTCACCTTTTAAAGGCCTCACTTCTCAATACCATTACATTTGCAATTAAATTTCAACATGAGTTTTGGTGGGGACATTCAAGCAATAGCAACTATCTTTTCTTGTTGTATTGCCTTTGTTCCATTGTCAAAGATTAGTTGACTAACTCCTGGATTTTTATATTATGAACTCATGGATTTACCTATAATTAGTGTGTTTCTGTCAGTTACAGTCAATGTTTTTTGCTGATGTGAAAATGATCTCAGCTGTAGCTACTGGGAGTACCTTCAAGGTGACGTTTGTCATTTTGACAGGACCTTATTTGTGTTCAAAAAGCTTCCTTGCTTTTTGGCACAATAATATGTTTCAGATTTATCTTGTAAATTCCCTCTCCCATGTCTGGAATCAGCCATTTCTCTAGAAAATTCCTTTGAGTGGAGAGTGATGGTTAGAGACCATAGTATAAGCACTGAGGGTGCACTTTGCTTTTGGGTTGTCTTTGCTTTTAAGCTTTTGAATGGTAAGAATTATTGTTAAGAAGCAAGGCCAGGCGTGGTGGCTCATGCCTGTAATCCTAGCACTTTGGGAGGCCGAGGCAGGCAGATCACAGGTCAGGAGTTTGAGACCAGCCTGGCCAACATGGTAAAACCCCGTCTCCACTAATTAGCTGGGTGCACTCCCGTAATCCTAGCTACTCAGGAGGCTGAGGCAGGAGAATTGCTTGAACTTGGGAGGCGGAGGTTGCAGTGAGCTGAGATTGTGCCACTGTACTCAAGCTTGGGTGAGAGAGTGAGACTCTGTCTCAGAAAAAAAAAGAAACAAAAACCAAAATAATAATTTAAATTTAAGATATAAAATGGTTTTTTATTTATTTGATTCTGTATTTATATCATTTTTTCTTATACTGAATATCTTGGTTCTTAACATTAGCAAATGTTTTTGTTAAAATATGCATAAATAGCTTTAAAATTAACAATGTGAATCTTATGGCTAAAATTATTGAATTAATTTTACTGTTTCTTTTTTTTAGCAGTGTTTTTTTGGCTTTGTGCTATAACCCAAAAGGATATGTAGTAAAAACTCTATGTTCTTAAATACTTAAAATAATTATTTTGTCTGTTTGGTAATGCCTGCAATATAATACTTATTTAGGTTTTAAAAATTTTATTAAAAATTAAAGTTGTGACAAAATATACATAATTTAAAAGATACAATTTTTACCATTGTTAAGTGTACAGTCCAGTGGCATTAAATGTATTCACAATGTTGTGCAATCATAACAACTAAACTCCATATTCATAAAACAATAACTTCATTCCTCCCGTCCCCTGAACCCACTGTAACCACAATTCCACTTCCTGTCACTATGAATTTAATTGTTCTAGGTACCTCATGTAAGTGGAATTATACGATAGTGATCCTTTTGTGTCTGGTTTATTTCACTTAGCATAATTATTTCTAGCTTCATTCATGTTGCAGCATGTTATCAGAATTTTCTTCCTTTTAAAGGCTGAATAATATTTCATTGTGGATGTTTATACTACATTTTGTTTATCCATTCATCCATTGGCGGACATTGGGTTATTCACATGTTTTAGCTATTGTGAATAATCCTGCTATGAACATTGGTGTGCAAATATCTGTTTTAGTTCATTTAGGTTTT